GGTCCTTTCCGACCTTGTGATTCTATGATTCTATGGTAGAATGAGCTCCTGTATCTCTGGCAATTAAAAAAGTAGTGATAACTTGAGTCATTTACGTAGAGGAGTTAAGAAGCAGGTGATTGCTCATCATGAATACTATGAAACTTATACTTTACTAACATGTTATATTGGAAGTTTTACAACAAGAATTTTTACAACTCAGCTACAAGATCCTTTTTGACTGTACAGTGGTATTCTTTTAGCTCCAGAATTAGAGAAAAGGATGGCTTATGTTATGCATTGGTGATTAAAAAAAATAATAAATTGTATCTCCCCAAATAGTAGTAGAGACAAAGGAGCTTGGTTTTGTTGCTTCATTGGTGGGGCTGTTACCATTTCAGAAGTCAGTTCAGTTCCCATCAATTTGTATAACTGCATCTTTTTGCTGCACCTGGTGGAGATGTCTCTTGAAACAGTGTGTTTAGTTCTCCCAGTAGTCTCTGGAGATCACTGCACCCTCAGTCTTTATATCAAATTATGATTTGGTTAGATTTCCTGCAGAATAAAAAAGAATGTATTTTATCCATCTGCAAGCTTCATTTTGCATATACCTTAGGAATAAGGTCTTGGAAAGCCAATAAGATAAGAAAAATGAAGTGGAAAAAAATGTATTAAGATTACCTGTTGTTTTGTCTTCAATAAAACACCACTCCCAGCATAACTATGTGATGCTTTGTGATGCTTCAAGAATAAGGATGTTTTTTCTCTTTTTCCTGATGATTATTTTCCCTGGCCTTCTGAAATGTGAATTTGATTCTTAAGCCTTCGTACACTTCTGGAAATAGGAAAACCAAGAAAAATATCCTCATTATAATGCAAATGATCATTAAATACCCATTTTGAAATTCTGTGAAGCTGCTCTGAGTTAAATGTTTCTATTTACTTTTCAGCAAGAGTGATTTGGAAAATTCACCTATTGTGGAAATTAATTTTGTTGGATTATTGAAGGGAACTGATGTGGTGGAAAACAAAAACAGTGGGACTTTTTCTTTGAGAATACGTCTGTTTTCTTTGTTACAGTCAAGTTATTGTCTTTGCTAATTATATTTCTTGCAAGATTTGACAGTTCTTTTTAATAAGGTGTTCTTATTTCTGGCTAGTAAGGATGTTCATTTATAAATGTTAGCTGAGCTGGGATTCATCATCAAACATCGTCATGTTTGAATTCAGCTTTTTCTAGGAGTTGTATGGAAATCACTTTTTGGGTGTATTAACATGACAAATATAGTACATAAGAAGTAATATAAATAAATAAATAAAAACAAGAGTGATGAGAGAGCCCAGCAAGCTCTCTCAAACCAGACAAGCAAACAACCCTCTTGCCCCCCAAACTGGACCAAAAATAATGTAGCAGGAGATACCCTTCACCTTGATGGTGATATGAGGCGATATGGGAACTGAGTATAAAGAAACATTTAGGATATGCTGAATTGTCAAAAGAAACCACCAGAAGAAAAATAGCCTTGGTTTCAGAAAATCTTTTTTGGATTAGCATTAAAAATTATGTCTCTCATGGCTTTTGCTTGATAGTTGCTGAGCCTTTTGGTGGAATTAAGATCAAGTCTCCTTAATCAATATAGCAGTACATCTGCTCTATCCTCATCTCAGTGAGAAGCAGCCTTTCATCTTATCATTTGGTTAGCTGAGGATTGTGGGAAACCTAATTAAAGATAACATGCTAAAACAGAAGTATGTATAAAATAATAGAAAGTACGCATTGTGTGCTTGTGTCCTTATTTTGGTAGCTGCTTGCTACATTGCACTGAGCTCAAGATGAAGTAAGGATAGGGCCTTACAGGTTGTGTTTGGATTTTGCTGCAGGAAACTTTAATGACTTTTCAAGTTTTACTTAGGAAATTCTGAAGTATCACTTGAGGACTGATGGATTATATGAACTTGAGCACTGACAAAAGATGACACAGAAATAGAGGGGTATTTGCTGGCTGAAAAATTACATTTCTGTGTGCAAGAATGCAAAAGCTGTAAGTGCCATGGAGAGTTTAAAGTCCTGCTTGACAAGGACTGAATTAGCAGCAATGTTAGATTTACGAATTCAAATTAAATATTTTCATTCCAACCATTCATCAGAAATGAAAATAAATCTTTCTAAGACTGTCTGGCAATATGTCAACGGAGTTCTTGTGACAGGAACAAGGCACTTCTTAATGGTTTCTCAGTGTATTGTAGGAAAAGGTCACGTTCTTCAAGGTTTTACCTTGTCAGGATGAACTATCAAGGTACCATATCTCATTATTCTTGAAAACAGTGATTAGCATTATTTATCATGACAAGAGTTGAGAAATGCACTGTGAGATGTAGTATTTTTAGACATAGAAGCTGTAGTTGAATTTAATGTCTATTTTCTGTAGCGAAGGACGAGCGCACACTATACTAACATTCCCTACAGGCTATGTCATGGCTCGCTCACTTTCTGTAATTCTAGCTACTATACAATGAATACAGAGGTAGACAAAAGACCTATTGATTTGAGCTTGGTTTTCTCTCTTTTAAGGGAGTGTGTGCTGCATGTTTTCTGCACAGTAAGGATTAAACCTTGTTGGTAACTGTGAAGAGTTGCATTTTAGAGAGTTTTTAAAGGCTATCAATAGACATTTTTGAAAGTATTTTATATTAACTTACCAATAAGCTGGTTGTCTAACTGAAGATTAAATAGTGGATCTGTTGCTGATGAAACCTGTTAGCTTTTGTTTTGATTTTAGTGACTAGGATCTATTTGCTGAATGCACACAATGAGAATTCGGTGGGTTTTTTGGTAGATATACTTGATACTGATAAATCTCAGACATGTCAGGAAAACCTTAGGGTTGGGGGATAAAAACAGAGAATTTGTATAAGGCAAATAAGGGCATTTTTGTGCAGGGATTTGTGTGCTGTTTTGTGCTTGGCAGGTGTGGTCTGTTTTTCAATCTGGCGCAAGAAAACAGAACAGTTGTGCTAATGTGTGCTGGGAGGTGGGGACTAATAACAAAATTGTTTGCCTGGTCACTCTCAAAATTAAGAAGATTTAAAGTTGAAAGCAGGTATAAGACCACAATACAAAAGATGCCAGAGAAAAATGTGGTTACAAAGAACCCCATTAAACGAATTGCAGAGATAACTTGAGTTCAGAGTTGAATTCTGAAGGCTTTCCACCAAGTAGATTTGCATTTTTATATCATAAATGAGCTTTAAGTACTTGCATTACTTGTTTTTACCAAATAGAAAGAAAGAAAATTTGTGAACGTTGAACTTAGCAGTGTGTAGTAAATACTTAAGACAATGCTTGTGAGAACAAATGCTTGTTAAAATCACTTCAATGTATATGAAGGGAGAAGAGGGAATGCTAGCTGGCCCTAAATGCAGAGCTGTCATAGCAGTGCTGCTATCAGTGCCCTCAAAGGGCTGTTGGGACAGCTCAGATTTACCAAACTGAGGTGCAGTGGCACCTCCTGCTGCCGTGTGTTTGTAGTCAAACAGAAGTATTCTGTGCAGAGAACTTCTTGTGGGTTTCTAAGGAAGCTGGAGGATGTGTTGGGAAGTCTGGGCTCGTTTGTCTGCTTGTTAGCTTATCAGGTGAAAGAATTCAAATAATCCAGTTTCTTGTTGCCTTCATATAAAGAATTTGATCAGTACTTTTGGTTTTGGGGCAGCAACTATTTTTAATAAGTACTCTATGAGATGGAATTGAAATTGAAACAAAGACCATAAGATCTGTTGATTGATGAAAATAAACCCAAGTAATAGCCTATGCTATCAAGATAGAAGTCCTCGTTAAATGTGCTCTCTATCACAGTTATGTTTCATGTATGTGAGATACAGAAGACAAATATAAATTCATTTTTTTTATTCTTTCCATTGTTGTAGGTTGTTTTAGCAATAGGGATCAATGTATTAGCTAAGAACCAATGTATTACCATTTACTGCATGTGCCTGACAATAGCTACTTTTAAAAATTAAATCCATTGAGATTGTGTGTGCATGTATGTGCAAACACACATATATGTGCACACAGAGTGTGGTTTTTTAGGTATAGCGTTTTGTGTGGGTATTTAATATCATAATACCTGCCTGTAATAAATGATAGGTTCAACCACACAAACTGAATTTCTTGCTTAGGTATGCTAACAGCCCTTGATGTTGCGCATGCTGAAATGCTGCTGCTTCCACTGGATTCATTTAAAACTGGAGGTGTTTCCAGAAGAGATGTGAAAATTGGAGGCAGGCGTAGTTCATGTAGGAGTTTGGCATATGAGGACATACAACTTACAATATAGTTGGTAATAAAGATTTTCCAAGCTTTTGCTATCAAACAAAAGAAATGGTTCGTTAAAATGTTATTATTTTGCATAATGTGGTAAAGGTTTCATATCCACATTCCTTGCATACCTTCTTGTCAAACATTCCTGTTGTGTTTTCTAGACTCATCGTTATAGCATAATTTGAAATGTAATGATGGTTTTGATGATGTAAAATGTACTATTTTATGATGACAAAAGAGAAGGATGTAATATTTTCTAATAGATGTTGGAGGTTGTATCCACTCTCTTAATATCCATTAAGCAATGGTATACATTTTAGTATCACAATGCAGTAATTACTTAAGTACAACCTTTTAAAACAAGGTGCATAAGGATACTGTATGCATTTGTTTTGGCAGCAACTACTGTTAATAGGTTTGAACCTTGTTTCTCATTAATTTGCAGGTTTGGTTATTATCAGGCTAAAGCTTATTCTCACATGTTCTTAAGGATACATCAACAGCGACAACTGTGAGGTTTTGTGAAGGCAGAGGGAAAGCTCTATGGAATATTTATAAGCTTAGCTGAAAGTGGATTTGGATGCCCAGGTGTTGTAGACATTTTTTAGTTTCAGCCATAAATTTCAGATATCCTGTGCTTTGCTGTTACCCATCTAAAGTAACCTATGCTCATCACTGTTCAGATATTTTCTGTTATTCTCAGGAAAGATGTCTAGAGATCGAGCTCTGAGGAAACAGCAGCAGTTGAATAACTTGGTAGCAGCAGTGAAAAAGCTTGCTAAGCCTGGAGATGTGATTGTGGATTTCTGCAGTGGAGGGGTAAGGTATATTTTCTCACGTGTTGCAATTTCTTTTGGTTTTCATCTTTGCAGTTGTACGTGGATGCTGCTGCAAAAGTGCAAGTACATATATTGAAATTTTAACTGCTTTTGGGTGTTCTGTCAGTTGTTAGGGGATACTTAGCATGAAATGATGCACCAACATTGAAAAGTGACTCAAAAATTTTACTGTTTGTTCTTGTTTTCACAGGGTCATGTTGGAATTGTTCTTGCTCACATGATGCCATCATGTCAGGTAAGTTCTAAATAAAAAGTACAGATGCTATGAGCTTTTGTTCTTTAATAATCATGTTTAAAAAGATATGCAGCTAGGGAGAATAATCTTGAAGACAAAACTTACTTTTTAGGAAGGCTTATGCACTATGAATATTTAATTAGTACCTGTATTTATCACATTGTATTAGTAGGGAGTGGCATAGATGTCATTGCCGAAAAGGGAAGCTTAGAAGTTCCTCTTCAGAAAAAGAATAAGAGAAAAACAAACAAACAAAAAAACTAAATGTACTTCAGAGTACAAATATGTAACTGAATGTGCATTGAAAGAGCAAAGTAACTAACTACAGTGTATGGATGATATTATTGCTTTCTAGCAAAGCCCCTAAGCTTGTGTTGTAAAGTTTGTATAGAAATGAAGCCCTTGTAATGAGAGGAATGTCTGGTAGTGCCTCTGCACCCCTTTTTTTTTTTTAATCTCAAGTAAGAAAGCGTAAGTGTGATATGATAGCACTGTTGCCATTAGAAATCTTACGGAAGTTACTGTTTCACTTCTGTACTTGTATACATGTACTATGCTCAGTCTGCAGTGAATTCTGCCCAATCAAGGAAGTGATTGAAGTTGGTTTTTCTTGGCTTTCTTCTTCTTGAAACTTTTTGTCTTTGTAGTGTTGTGTTGTAGAAATGAGGGCAAAAAGAAAAAACGAGATTTTTTTTTTTCCAACACAGAACGCTGAATTGGTGATGATTTCACTCTCTTCTCCAACTCTCTCATGGTTGGGGAAATCACTGTGTGGGATGAAATTCAATGAAAGGAGCAAGAGCTGGTTTGTTCTTTAGCTGTGTTGCTAGGTGTGCTTCTGAGCATGGCTTGGACAGGACATGCATTTACAGACTATGGCTGTGCACCAGCAGAAGAGATCCTCCAGGAAGGAGGTGAACTCCTCAGAGAACTCAAGGTTTCACTCACGCCTCTCGCTGAGTTGGCTGGTAGCAAGCAGCCTTATGAAATGACATAAAGTACAAAAACAGTTACTTATATTACATGTGCTTGTTTTTTTCTTCTGTCTCATCCAGTTACTTTGTCTTGCCTTAAAAAAAAAAAAAAAAAAAAAAAAGTTTTTAGGGTATTTTAACCCTTCAGGGACAACCTTCTGAGTTTAAAGATTTTTCACTGCCGTTGGTGAGTGAAAGAAAATTGTTTGGAAACATTTGCCTTAGAGGTCATGATCTGTCATTGATGTGTACCTACCAAATTCTTTTCACTGATTAGGAGGAAAGTGGTTCTTCAGTTTCAGAACAAACATGATGCCAAAGTCAAGAAGCCAGTAGTAGAGCTGAGCCATCCAGTCTTGCTGATGTGACCCAGACTTGCATCAAACATAACTTTGCAAAAAAAAAAATCTTTACAGCAGAAATTTGAAACATGCAAATTCCTAGTGTAATTGCAAGTATGTGAGGTGCGTGCCTGTGAAAAGGAAGTTCTAGTTGGAGGGAAAATATAAAAATATTTGCTAACTGAATGATATTGGTAGATCTTTGCCTTTCATTTTTATGTCACCTGCTAGCATTCTGTAAATCTTATAAGTAGAGGAGTTTTCTCAACTAAACAACAAAGTTTTGTGCATGTTAGTAATGTTGCTCTTTGATTATTCAGTATTATTTTGTCTTACTGTGTCGTATGTGTGAAATCTAGGTGGTGCTCATAGAAAATAAGGAGTTGTCTCTGATGCGTGCTAAAGACAGAAGTGATGAACTAGGTTTAAACAACATTTCATTTATTCAAGCGAATTTGGACTATTTTAATGGCACTTTTAACATTGGGGTAAGTGTTTTTAGCTTTTCAACTTCAGAACATTAATTTCAATGTCTGATTAATTGTTCTTAAAACAATTACAGTATTTGAGACAAGAAAATTTTGTATTCATGCAAACAATTATTTCTGATGCTGTGAGAAGAATCCTTGTTATTTTAACCTATGTTAGGGTTTGTATTTATTATCTGTTGCAAACCGACATCACTGCATCACTTTGGTCATTATATGAGTGAAGAAGGAAGAGTCTGCTCCAATCAAATACAAAAATGAGTGCTGCCTGAACGTGTTGAAAAATAGCATGGTACATTTTTGGTTTAATCACGTGATTTTGAAGTAAGCAGCTTGCTGATGAGATAATCTGGAGAGAGTTTTGAAGGCAGAAAGAAAAGACTGTTCATGGTCAAAATAAGCGTGGGAATGGTAAAGTGAGATCTGAAATGTAGAAATGAGACAGTAAAAACAAAAACTCAGGATTGCACAATGCAAAGCTGATAAGAAACTTTGTAGAGAAATGCCAACAAATTGGAGAGCTGGGTAATCACCAATTGGATGAAGTTCAACAGGAGCAAATGCCAAATTCTACACCTGGAGCAAGGCAGCCCTGGCTGCGCGTGCAGACTGAGGGACAAGTGGCTGGAGAGCAACCCTATGGAAAGGGACCTAGAGGGGGTTCTGGCTGATGGCAAGTTGAATGTGAGTCAGCAGTGTGTATGGGTGGCCTAAAAGGCAAGCAGTATCCTGGAATGCATCAGGCTTGGTTCTGCCACTGAGTGAGGAAAGGAATTGTCCTGCTCAGCTCTCACTTAGAGCACTGGGTGCAGATTTGGGCACCACAGTGTAAGAAAAAGACATCAAGCTATCAATAAGTGTCCAAAGAAGGGCTATGAAAATGGTGAAGGTTCTAGAGGACAAGATGCATGAGGACCAGCAAAGAGTGGAGGCGTCATGGCAGCTGCAGCTTCTCACAGGGAGCAGAGGCAATGCTGATCTCTGCTTTCTGGTGGCAGTGACAGAACCTGAAGGAATGGCATGGAGCTGTGTCAGGTCAAGACAGGTTGGATGTTAGGAAAAGGTTCTTCACCAGAGGGTGGTGGGCATGCAACGGGCTCTCCAGGGCAATCAGCATGGCACCCAGCTGCTGGAATTCAAGGAGCATCTGGACACCGCTTTTAGACAGAGGGCTTGGGTTTTTGGGTAGTCCTGTGTGGAACCAGGAGTTGGACTTGGTAGTCTTTCCCTAGTCTCTTCCACCTCAGGATATTTTGAGTCTAACTATCATAACAGGGAGAATGTTACACTAATGATCTATGTGGCTATTCTTTGTGAAGCATATACTTGAGCTGTGTTCATAAATGTAGAATAATATCTCAGTTTTTTTGAGACTCAGTTTTTTGAGTACTGCTGTTGCTGTCAGTGGGTGATATTTTGACTCTCAGTGACTGTAAATAAGCAGGCCAAAACAGGACTTTGTTCTCCATTTGCCATTCAGAGAGACCTAGACAGGCTGAGCAATGGGCCCAGGTGATCTTCATGAGGCTCAACAAAACCAAGTGCAATGTTTGTATCTGAGTTGTGGCAACTGCTGCTATCAATACAAGCTGGGAAGTGTAAGGATAAAGCACTGCCCTGCTAAAAAGGACTTGGAGGTACTGGTGAACAGCAGCTGGACGTGAGCCAGCAGTGTACCCTCACAGCGCAGAAAGCCAACTGTATCCTGGGTTGCCTCAACAGAAGTGTGGCCAGCATGTCAGGGAGGTGATCCTGCCTCTGTGTGCTGTGTGACCTCACCTGGAGCACTGTGTCTAGATTGGGGTTGGAGGGTCCTCATACAAGAGAGATGTGGACCTGTTGGAGTGTGTCCAGAGGAGGGCCACACAAATGACCCAAGGGATGGAACGCCTGCCTGTGAGGACAAACTGAGAGCTGGGGCTGTGCAGCCTGGAGAAGAGAAGGCTCCAGGGAGACCCGAGAGGTGGCCTTTCAGTATCTAAAGGGGAGCTGTAAAAAGGAAGGGGACAGGCTCTTTAGCAGAAGCTGTTGTGACAGAACAAGGGGAAATGGTTTCACACTGAAAGAGAGGAGATTTAGACTGGACACAAGGAAGAAATGTTTTATGCTAAAGGCAGTGAGACATTGGCACAGGTTGCCCAGAGAGGCAGTGAATGCCCCATCCCTGGAGATGCCAAGGTCAGGCTGGAGGAACTCAGGGACACCTACAGCTCTATCAGGTGCTCAGTTTATTGCAGGGCAGTTGGATGACATGGCCTTTAAGAATCCCTTTCAACTCAAAAGATTCTATGATTTTATGATTTGAATACTGATTCAAAGTGTCTGTGTTACACCCAGAAAGTAAATTCCTCCCCAGAATTCTGCTGCGCTTGTGAAGCGTAAGGCATAATGTTGTAAAGATTCCTCTCTTATGGTCTTGTTTTCTGTTAATGGAATATGAACTTTTACAGCAAGTTCCCATCTTTGGATGCAAGTCTGATTGTTCCTTAAACTGTCCGTCCAAGGGGTTTCTTCGGCTACATCTTAAAATGTTTAATACTGAAGTTTTATGGCACATACATTCTCCAGATCTGTTTAACTATTTGTTTGGTCAAGAAAATGAAGAATAGTGCAGGAGAAGGGGGAAAACAAATTATTTTAGCACAGTCTTTCCAACTGCAGTTTTCCAATTGTCTAGCTTTATTTTCTGTGTTATATTGTTGTTTAGATCTCATTTAATAAATCAGAGATCTGTTTAAAAAAAAATAAATCAGAATCTTACAAATAATTTAGTGATTGGTAAGTGTGAAACGTATAATAGATTGTCAGTGAAGTTTGCATCCAGTTTTGTGGCCATGGAAGTTTTAGATCTTTTTTTTGCTCTTTTTTAAGGTTAATACTAAGTTAAACATCTGTGTGAAGTTTTTATTTAATAAAAGGATGTTATATTCTCTCTCAAATCTTGTGACAAGTTTAAATACTTAAATAGACGTCAGCAGAAAATCACTCAAATTCTTCATTTCCAGGCTCGTGATTTCAGTGTACTTAGCTTGATTCTCTTGATTCTGTAAGTTCTTTGACAAACAAAGCTGCAACTTTCTCTTTTTGGAGACCTGAATCAATCTAAGCTACGGAATTGGTTTGTCTCATATGATTCATTCTTCTGGATGTGTTCACATTTTCTTTGCAGCTGTATGTAAGGAAGGAGCTGACTGCTTTCTTAGCAGTAGCCCAAATGGTTGATGGTATGTTGGAAGTTGAATTATGTGAAGTTTAGCTACCTTTGAATCATTGTCATAAATGCTGGTCTGTTACAAAAATAACAGTGTAATAATGCATAGATGTGTACAAAGTTTGACAAGGTATCATTCCTAAACTGGTCTTCTGAGACTTGTAAAGGAGACCTCTCATTGCACAATTTCACTCCTGTAAGTGACATAGTACAGCATGAGTATGAGACTGGACATGACAAGAAACTTGTGGATTATAGTAAACAAAATTTAAAGACATGGAAAAAATGAACTTGATGGAAATCTTAATCTTGCTGCTTCTGCTATTAATTTAAAATGTGTGTACATGTATCTTTAGATACTATAAAATGAAGAACTGCATTATTTGGCTATTTTCTTAAGTGTTATGTGTGAGGAGCTCAAAAGCAGGTTTAGAAGGATTTATCAAGAAATTCCCTTTTCCTCTATTGGAACATCAGAGAATAAATGCAGGTCAGTGGTCTCACACTGAGATAATTGTTCTCTTCAGGAGCCACTTCGTATTCCTTTCTCCACAAATGTACGAATCTGTGAACAAAATGCATTATCTGCATTTGTCTGCGTTCTCTTTGTTTCAGGTGGCATTTTTGTTATGTAGGATATCCTAAAAGAAACTGCCTTGATTTTTATTTGTGATTTTTTACTTCAGTAAGTTGATTCTGAGGAACCCGAAGAAGAAACCAATTGGCTTTATGTCCGTTTAGGTTCAGCAAAACTACTGGTTTCATGGTTGTTATTTATTTAACCAACACAGGTTTAAGGTCTCCTTCCCAAACATGCAAGCAAAGCAGAGGTCTTTGGAGAAATGTAAAAGTAACTATTCCATGATATTCTAATAGCTGCAATATTAAAAGTTGTTCTGATCTTAAACCAGTTTTATTTTTGTTGTTAAATTCATAAAAACAGAAAAAATAATTGAAGTTACTACATTTATTAATTTGAAAGTTCTTGAGACAAGAGTATTTGTTACCATCTGTATGCAGTTATAGTTCAGCTCACGATTAATGGTCTGCTCAGCTTGGCTTACATCAAGCAGCCGGCAAACAAAAAAGTCTTTGTTATAATCCACATCTGAGAGAGAAGTTTTTATCTTCCAGTTGCTGTACCTTGAAAAACAGCTTTGAACCTTGAAATGTGAGCTTTGCAGTTTTAAACGTTTTTCCTAAATTTACAGAGAAATAAAAGCATAGAAAACAATGCAGCTTTACAAATCTGAATCACTGTATAAAGTAGCAGGCAGAATTTTCAATTAAGGGAATGGCAGACTGTTTCCTCCAGAGCTGAGAGACCATAGAAGCAGGTCAAGTGAGGCCCGTTGTTGATTTTTGTCTGATGTTTGGGATTGGCTGGTATCTAATAAGGTTCAAATGGGAATGAGATTTTTTTTTTTGGTATTTCTAAACCCTTTTTGCTTGAACAAAAATTTTTTACTAATCTCTATAGTAGTTTCTTTTAGTATTTTTCTGGAACTCTGTTTTCCTTTGATTTGATATGGCAGTGCAGTGTACCCATGCATGCATTTATTTTATGACTGTTTCTGGAACCTTTGTTTACTGTTGGTGACTCCTTTGTGAAATGCAGTTGGCCATAAAGGTTCCTCTGCATAAACAGGAAAGAGAGAAATGAAAAGCCAAGAAATGAAGTATCGGGCCTCGGCCTTTGGCTTAACAGTTTTCATTGCTAAATACTCTTCAGATGTTAAGTAACTCAATCAAAAATATGTAACAAGATTGTATGTAGAATATTGCTGTAAAGAATTTGCTTATTCCTGTTTTCTTTTGTGTGTGTGTGTGGTTTTTTTTTGTTGTTGTTTTCAACATTGTAGGTGGCTCTACATGCGTGTGGTGTGGCAACAGACATGGTGATTGAACACTGCATCAAGGCTCGAGCAGCCTTTGTCATCTCCCCTTGTTGTTATGGCTTCATTCAGAACACTGTGAAGTTTAAATATCCAAGAAGGTAAACTAGGGGTAACAAGATAAACTTTAAAATACCGATTTAAATTTACAAAAGGAAATGCAAAAGGATTGTAAAATTAGTCAATCATTGTAGATGTCCAGGCTAAATTCTTCTCAGTTACAATGCAGCTAACTTCACTTTCTACTTGCAAATTCATCCCTGAAAGGGAGATTACCCCTAAAGGGTAATTTCTGGGTTATTTTTCTGGATTTATCTATTCATTGAAGTTCACAAAGGCTTTACACTATCAACATAGTAGACGGAGTTTGTAGAAATCGCTGTAATATGCAGACCTCTTACCTTGAAATCACTACATTAATAGAAAGCTCATGAAAAGAACTGTAAGAAGGGGAATTGACGTTTTAATGCTGGATAAAGATGTAAGCAGTCAGTTTAAATAAATGAATCTGCTTTATGCTGCAGTTTATTGCTTGTGAAACTGTTATGATTTATTCCCATGTAGATCAGCTCTCCTGATTTTTTTTTTTTTTTAATTTGTTTTTTTAGATCATGTTTTTAATACTTTTTCAGTGAACTGTGTAGCTGTTCTGTTCTCCAAATTAGCCATGTTGGAGATGTTTATGTATCTTAGGCTTAAGAATTTTAATACCTTTCGTTGATACAAATAGAATATAGAATTCAGGCAAAAAGTAGCTAAGATAAGATACTAACTGCTTTCCACGTAGAACTAGGTTGGGGAGAAGATTATTTTATTTTATTTCCTGAAGCTGAGCTTTGCCTTTTATGTGTCCAAGATGGATCAGACTTAATCATACTAGGAATTACAGCATTGTCTCAGATACGTATTTGCTACAATAAGGAGCTGAAACACACTGTATTAGAAGGGATCAGAAAATCTAAAATAATGCAAAATATTTTTCATATTTTTTTCCAGTATTCAAGTGTGTTGTCACAGAAGTGTTTGGAGAGTAAATGCTTTAAAATTTGATTAACTCTGCATTTAACAGTACTTTCTTGCTCAATTTCCCATGTCTTCAGATGTGTCCCTTTTGTTTTCTCCACTGACAAAGTACAAAAAAGCAGCATTCTTAAGGAGGGGGCAATAAAATTTTAGGCTTTCTGAAGTTAACGCATAATGCAACTCTTCCATTGGCGTGTTAAACAGCAGCTTTTGACAGGTTCTGGTTTTAGGTCATGAAGACCAGAAATGCACACTGTTAGGAATCTTTTGTTTCTATAGGTGTTGCAAGATGGTAAATAGTTGGCATTTTGGCTTTGCTAAAATTATGAATCTTGACAGTGTTAGCCAGTGTAAGAAATGATGTGGTTCATAACATATCAAACCTTCCTTGAGCTATATTTTAGAGCTTACTTTTGAAAAATGAGGGGGAGAAAAAAGATTATAAAACATACCAGACTGCCCATATTACTACATGGCTCATATTGTCTGTGTGGGCCTTTTTTCCCCCACTCAGTTCCATTTTAGAAACTTATTTTAGTGATACACAGAAAATATATGCATGTCTAGAGCTTGTATACCTGTATAATATCTAGTATGTGAAACTGTGGAAAACCTAGTAAACATTTGTTAGCATTTTTAATGGTTTAAATGGAGGGTTTCTATGAATAATTCAATAGAAGAGAAAAAAAACATCAAATGTGCTTTTTCTTTATTTGTAATTGAAGTGTCTTCATGTATAGTTTCTTTGAATGTCTTTTGGTTTGCCACAGATAGTGCTGTTCTGTTAAAATGTGGTCTGGTATGTAAGGATTGCTTTTATATTCCAGCTTGACGTTTTAAGATCTTAATTGAATTAGTCTCTTTCTTTTTCCAGTCATCAGTTCAAGGAAATTTTATCCTACAAGGTATGTAAAATAAACAGCTGTGTGTTGTGGACGGAGGGTGTGTTGTGCCATTCCTTACACTTAACTGGGTCTTATCGAATGAAATATGAGTATTTATCTTTTAATGGAGAAGGAATGCATGTGTTATGTAGTAGTGCAGATGTCACTGCATTGCCTTCTCTCTGCCGTACATTTAAGTTTCTTTTCATAAATTTAAATATTATTTTTCAGAAAAGGTCTTTTTATTTTCATCATAAGATGTAGAAGAGTCATTCCTAAGCCAATCCTAAGATATCTCCTTCAACACGTATCAGTTAAAAGTTACCATATAGCAGTTTACTTATCTAATCTTACATACTAACATAGAAACTTGCAATTGCTTTTAGTTACAATTGTTACTTTTATAGATACCATTTTCTGGTAAAATAATATTTCTCCCTCTATTTTATGTCTAGAAGATCTCGTACAATGAGCGGGAAAAGATAATTCTCTTCATCAAGAATTTTGTGCAACACTGTTCTAAAAACTTTATTCAAAATTATTTTAGATTCAAATGTGTTTTGATCCTGGAGAGACAAGGTCTATGCGGATGAGGTTTGAGAGAAAAGTGGGAGAAAGAAGTAATAAAGCATTCAGGTCTGACAAAATGAAGATAACAGGGGAGTAAAATAGGACAAGACAGTGCAGTAGTCAGGAGATGACTGGAACAGATTCATTAAGCATTGTCCAGTGTGTTTAAACTAAGTGATGAACAACCAGGAAAGCGAAGGTCAAATGCACTTAATGTGGTATGGAAAGAGAATATTTCTATTCAAGAGAAGCAAGATTCTATAGAAACTTTATTAACACTGGTTTATCACATCCTAGGCTAAGTCTCAGTGTTTAGAAAAGCCAGTGAATTTTTGAGATGCAGAATAGTCTTCTATTACAAAAATATGTTTGGAAGATGCTATTTTTAATCTCCAAATGTGCTTTAGGACACTGAGCATACTGAAGAATGCTGTATATAGCAGGAAGATTATCTTTTTTGATCCTGCAGTGAGGACATTTGAAAAAGAAAAATTAAAAACTTCAGCCAACTTACACAGGGAGGTTCAGTTACTACAGTCTTTGTGACAGTCTGATCTAAGTAGATTTCACTGACTTGCACAGAAATTTCCATAGTTTGAATTGATAAAAGGGCATAGTGAGATTTGAATCTGTGATTAGTTTTTCCATTGATTAACATTCGTTCAGCACATTTACAACTCTTTAACATGCAATCAAGAAAAATTCAGGTTTGAGATTAGAAAATATTTGCTCATATATTGTTAAAAGTTGACCTGTTGACAGTACGGAGAGGTGTGGTGACATGAATTCAAGGAAGCCTGGGTTAGGATAGTGTATGTAATATTATTGAAGTTCTGATTTTCTTGTTGTTGTTTTTCTGCTTTTTTTTTTTTTCCTCAAATCTATTCATATCTGGATATTTAAATTGCATGTTTTATCACCACTTTAGAAATTTCAGCATCTTTTTTGTGTTGCAGAACTGCTCAGAGGCCAAGGACAATGCTAAAAAAAAAATAAAATATTTCTGTTCTGAATAATGTAAGAGTTTGTACAAATGATCTAGGCTGGATGGTGCCTCAAGTAATCCTAGTTATAAATAACTTTTGTTATACAGCTAGCTGTATGCATTTTTATATATTTCATATTAATAAACTGTTACAGGATGCTGGCTAGTAGCCAGAGCTACCATGTGCTAGCCAGACGTTGTCTGTGTCACCCCCCTCCAGTTCCCATTTGAAATTCATTTCTCTTATCTCCCATTTTAGTGAGATCTAAAAAGACATCCAGAAGTCTGGCAGTTCTAAAATGTTTTTGATGAGAACATTATGCTGTAACTCATTCATTTACAGTTGCAAAGGTTGTGGTAGCTCTAGATGTCTACCATGATACATTTTTTTTAATGCTCTGTTTGTCAAGATGCTCTCCCTGTCAAAGACCTAGAAAGAAAGAATGAATAACTTCAGACATACAGCTTTGAAAACTTGATAGGCATTTTTGTGGGTATTCTAAAAAGCAAGTTAACGGCTTCTGCGTGCACAAAGTTTGTGCAGTTTAAAATGGTTATCCTAGTTACATCAGAAATGCTTTTCTCCTCATTTTTAACCAACAGAAGATGTCACAATTTACTGGTTCTGTCACAGGAAAAAGATGTGATTGTAAGTTAGACTTCAGTTTAACTTTAAGCCTCATCTCTGGTAGGAAGCTAAGGCACAGGAGTCAGTCCAGATTTCCACGTTAAGTGGCAAGTCTTTTATTCTTCCTCTCCTGCCAAACCCCTCTTTTCCTTCCCAAGCTGCTCATCACTGTTCCTCTCTCCTAAAAACAGCCACATTGCCTCTGTCTCTTTTTTTTTTCCTCTTCCCTAGTAATTACTTCTGGGTTAAGCATTTTCAACCCTTTCATACTATGGAAATAGCCATATTTAAACCGAAAAATATAGTGAAATTGCCTGAGCAAAACATATTGAGTTCTAATCATGTTATAGCATGTTCTCATTTTGCTTGCACATTTATTGTGGAGCTGTGAGCTGAAACCCTTGTGTGTGTTAGCTATAGTAGGGAACTGCCTCAATTATACCATATGATTAAATAAAGTAAAATTTGAGTTTAAAGGCAGGCAAGAAACATGCATACTTGAGTAGAAATCTGCTTGTAGTTGCACTTGATTTTTTAAATTTTTTTTACGGCCCAAGGTAATATAAAATTAGGATTTGCACACTTTTTTTTTTTTTGGAAACAGTTTTCTACATGATAGTGTTTTTTAATACATCTGATTAGTAAATTAGAATCATAGAGTCACAGAATAACTTAGGTTGGAAGGGACCTTAAAATCATCTAGTTCCAACCCCAATTAGATTTTTCTTACTGGATTCAAAAGAAACACTACTGAACTAAGTATCTTTTCTTTTCCTTTTAGGAGCACATGATCCTTTGTAGGTTTGCAGATCAAACAGCTGTTCATCTTCCACCTGAACGGAAGCTGATAGGTATGAATTTCTACAGCTATAATTTAAACTATTTCAGTGAAGTCTTTACATTGCTATATAAAGGAATAAACAGTGCTGTGAAATATGGGTTTCTTCACATTTTTCTCCTTGCTGTTCTGAACTATGGTATTAAAACTGTTTTCTTTGTTCGTGGTTATCAACGTGAGCTAGAGGGTTTGCATTTTACTTTTTTCTTCTTTTTTCTTGCCTCTCCACATTTTTCCCACTCTATGAAATAGAATGAGGTTTTTGTAGACTTTACTGAAGCCCTTCTATTGCCAGTCCATGTTGCATTAAAAGCACTTGCTATTTGTAGCAGTGATTTGCAGTGTGAACCCTTTATGCTACTTGTAATTGCTGGTAGTAACCTGTTCAGAAGGGCAAGTACATAACACCAGCTGTAAACATCAAAACTGCATCACAAAATTTAAGCTACATTTGATACAGACAGGCTTAATGGCCTACAAACCTATTTTGCCCACCTCAATATTAAATTTGTAATAACCTTGGAAAACATCTTGAAGATTTTCTGGGATTGTATTTAAATGAGTAATTTTAATTTGACAACTCTGACCAGAGCACAACTTGACTTGCCCCTTATCAGGGTTATTACATACCTACCCATTGTGGGAAAGCTTATGCTATAGCTTCAGCAGTGCATGATTGTTTTCACCTTTCAGTAGTCAGTTCTGTTTCAGATTTCTATATTACTGCAATTTTGAATAAGAGTAGCTGCCTTCTTTTGGGTTATTTCTGTGCAATTAGTGGCAAAAGCAATATCATCCCTGTAATTTCAGATCATTGCTTAAGTGTTTTCTGAGATAAAGAAATGCATAAACGTGGTAATTTCATTATTCACATAGACAGCAAAGTATATAACATAGTATTTAATAATCAGAAATACAGAAGTTCATATTACGCATAACTGTACATCTCATTCTTTCATTGCTTTTTCTATTTTTTTATCTGAAGAAATAAAAAAAAGACTTAAGATTTTGAAAATATGGAATAAGCAAAGCTGTTTCTTCATTATGTGCAAAATTCTAGTTTTTTTTATTCATAAGAGGTTATAATGTGCTCCTGTCTGGTACTAATGTTCCAGTGGAAGCTATAAGCTAGATTCCATGCCAGAAAAGACAGAAAGGCTTGAGAACTCTAAAGATATAACGGTGGATTCTTGGCTCACGTGAACCACACAATCACAGAATGACAGGGGTTGAAGTGATTCTATGACCTGAGGAGATCATCAGGTCCTGCTAAAGCATGTACCTACAGTAGGTTGTGCAGGTAGGGGTCCAGCCAGGTCTTGAGTATCTCCATAGAAGGAGACTCCGCAGCCTCTCTGGGCAACTTGTTCCAGAGCTCTGTCACCCTTACTGTGAAGATCTTCCACATGCTAATATAGAACGTTGTATGTTCAAGTTTTAGGCCATTAGTTCTTGTCCTATCACTACACACCATTGAGAAGAACCTGGCCTCATCCGTTAGCCTCCCACCTCCCTTTAGATATTTATAAACACTTGTTAGATCTTCTGAGTCGTCTTTTCTCCAGGCTGAACAGACCCAAGTTATTCAGCCTTTCCTCATACAGGAGATGCTTCAGGCCCTTTATCATCTTTGTGTCTTCCACAGGACTCCTCCTAGGAGATCCTTTTTTTTTTTTGGTTTTTTTTTTTTTTTCTGATGAGCCCAGAACTGAATGCAGAAGTCTACATGTGGCCTCACCAAGATGGAGCAGAGGGGGAGAGAATGCCCTCCCTTGACCTGCTGGCCACAGTCTTTTTAATGCACCCCAGAATACCATTGGCCTTCTTGGCAGCAAGGGCACACCACTGACTCGTGGCCAACCTGTTGTCCACCAGGACCCCCCGATCCTTTTCTGCAGAGTTCCTCTCCAGGAGGTCATCCTCTAACTGATACTGATGCACATGATTATTCCTCCCCCACTTACCAAACATATGAAAATAGCAAAGCAAATAGTCATGTTTTTCAATAAGATTTGTTTAAAGAATTTTGATTATTTCCTATACTAGCTACAGAAAAAGAAAGTAATACAGGTATTAGGATGATAGTATTTTACAACTTGTCTGCTCTTCTGCTATCATCACAGTATTTATGAATAAAAAAAATCAGCATTTGGGTACCAGTGTAGCACCAGGAATTTTCTCCTGCTGTTTGCTAGGTGAACTGAAAGTTGGAAGGGGACTCAACAACATCTTTTAAAGATTGTAACTTTTGCCTTTTCTCTTTCTGAAACTGTATTTTTTTTAATCACAAACATAACTTCTATGTTGTTTTTCCTGACAAAAACTAAACGCAGATCATTTTTCCTCTTTCCCAGACAGGAAATGTCATTGCTTTTTATGTTTTAAAGAATGGTTGTTGCTTTATTTTTCCCCTTAATGTTCCAAGTAACACTTCTCAGTTTAATTGAAGACCATTCCCATTCTGTTTAACTATTTCAGCTGTGAAAGTTGATGTTATGGGAATCTTGTTGGGCTAATTTGTCTTGTTTGCAAAAAACTTGAGATTGACTTAGATTAGTGTTGCAGCCATTGTGAGATTTTGTTTGTTAATGTTTGTGCAATGCATAATTGGATATTGAGAAACCTCTGCAGATTTCATTTAATGCAAATATTTCTAAACAACTGAAGGCTTTTTATTTTCAGTTGTAGATGATAATGGCTTGTTCTACTTTTAAGGGTAAATGTCAGCAATTATGCAGTCTCAGTAAAATAACATAATTTTGTTTAATTACCTAAGAGCCCCTAAAAAAGCTGCACACAAAGTACAGCATTCTAGCTACCCTCACAAAGTGGAGGCTACCACCAGAATAGAATCAAAATGTCACTATCTTGATGAAGTCAGAATAGTGAATTCAGTTGAGAAGGAGAAAATACTTCTGGCCATCAGTTCACTGTGGAAAGGGAAGAAAGACTGGACTAAACATTGTATTGAAGTGTGATGTGCGCCAGCTGTCCTGAAATGCAAAGATACTAGGGGACATGTTCATGCCAACTACCTTAAGCTTGCACAGATGCTTACCAGGTGCAACCAAATTCCATATATATTGAAGGGAAACAACTAAGCAAGTAAGAGAGTAGTTTAGAATACCTGACTTATGTCCTGATGATGAGCTGAATATGAATTTTCCTTATGAGTACTCATCTCAGTCCAAAAAATATATAATTTTGCAATTCTTTCAAGAAAGAGAAAAGGGACAGTAATATTGGCTTTGAGAGCAGCTTGGCCACTGTGTCAGCCTCAGGACTCTGGGATGCATCTCATCAGGATCTGTAGACTTGTGAATATTCAGGTTCCTCAGGCAGTCACAAATCTGATCTTCACTCGCAGTTTCATTTATTTTCTTGAGATCACCTACACTGGATAACTGTTCAGTATTTTCTTCTTCCCTTGCTTATCAGTAACCAAAGATTTTCAGATTTTAGGTGAAACTGCAGCAGGAAAACAACTATGGTTATAAAGGAGTAAGAATTTTAACAATTCAGGAGCTGAGGGACAAACCGGCTGTTTTCTTCCTGTGGCTTTTATTTTAATGCACACACTCTTCCGCAAGTTTTGGGAATATTTAAAAATAGCTGTGCCTATTATATTTCTCGCTATGTACAGAGTTAATAACCCTTCTCAAGAAAATTGATAAATGAAGGTTACAAGATGCAGATGTGATTTAGAACTATTAATGCCTATTAAAGTTTATTTGAAGTAAAACAGATTAAGATAGATTTTAAAGCAGATTTGGACCTTTTTTTTTTTTTATGACTTACTGATGTTTCATCTTAAAATTGAAGTACATATTTCTGATAATGCTTGCGTATTTTTAGACTTTCTGTGCTCTCCTTTCCTCTTTTTTTTCAGGAAAGCAATGTATGGGGCTTGTGGACCTTGATCGAGCATGGGCTGCAGAAAGATTTAACTACTCTGTTCAAGTTACATCTATGGAGCCAGAGAGCTGTTCTCCAAAGAACAATATGTTTGTGGGCACCCCAGTTTAGAGAATGAAACTTGCACTTGATTTGAAGTTGATCATAAATCTTCAGTGCATAAAAACATACAGCAAATACAAGCATAGTTGGGAACCAGACATCATGCATCTTGAACCCATTGAAAAGTTTGGAAAAGGAAGCAGCATAAGAAGTTTTAGAAAGTGAACTGCATGCAGAGCATTGCAAATTGTACTTGTAATGTGTCATTAAGCAAACTTTTGGTTTTCATAGTGAGAAGTTTCTCTAACAATGGTCCATAGAATTGCATCCATCTGCAGAAGCTTAGAAAAAAGGGGAAGAAGGCTTAGAAGGGAAGGTTATTTCCTTTTCAGTAAAGCTGTCTTGGCTGCTTCAAAATTGCATTCATGTTCAAAACTTCATTTGTGCTCATGGGCAGAGCAGTTATCAGCCAGTAATGCATTTCACTAAAGGGAGAAGATTTATGGTGTTAGTGATGAAAACTGTGCAACAGGTGTTGGCTAGATTTTGCTAAAGAATGCCATACTATTTCATCAAGATTCTTAATACAAATTCTTCAGAATGCTTTCAGCATTATTCTGCATGTAATTTGTGTTCCAACTTAATCCTTTTAAAAATGATGTAAAATTTTTACCTTTAGATATTTCACAAGAATTCTGTACCCACTCATTGGAAAGTGTGTGTGTGGCTAAAGAGAGCAAACCCTTATTTCTCTGTTGTTCAGATTATAGGAGCTAACAGTGATGTCAGTGAATGGTTACTTCACTGCCACCTCTGCTAATTGAAATGGATTTCTTTCCATTTGAAAGACACTTGCTGTCAGATACAACTTTTTAAAGAAGTTCTTGTGTCCACATACATCATCTTCATTTGTTTTTATATTTAGTTTAAATTTGGAAGAAGTTGCAGTCGTGGAACTATTTGAAAAGCTCAATCATAGACATGTTACCATTAAATGAAAATAAACGTTCTTCTGTGTTTGGGTTTTCTACCCTACTTTAAAACTGTCTGTTCACACTGTCACAGTGAAAAAAGCTCATAACAAGATATTTCTTGTATGTTTGTGGGTTTCATATGTTTCCAAATTTTGCCATTGTTTAATTTAAATATATCTGAAGTTTAATCAGCATATGTGGGAAACAGAATTACAGACAGCAACAGCTATTGGAGGAAAAGAAAGGATCCCAGAATACTTTATTCTTTATTAAAGCTCTTTCTAAGAGACCTAAACATTTGTTTTAATGTCAAGATTGAAGGAAGCTGCACTCTTATGTGGAAGCACAAAGGTAAGCAAATAGGTATTAATTCATATCTTCACTGTGAATTTTTGAAAATAATGTAGTGTTTTTTCTGCAATTTTTTATAATTATGAGAGAAGGTAGGGATTGGAAGATTGTGTAGCTAGTATAAAACACATGGCAATATCAATTGCCTTTGGAGGTTTTGTTCAGAGATGCATTTGCCAAAGAGAACTGTTTTTAAGTTAGAACTACGTCAAATGTGAACATTATTCACGTTAATCTATTTGGAACTCCAGATTGTATATCTGGAGTGAGAAAATCTCTTCATTACTTTTTTATGATGAAGGAAGAATAATATTATAAATAAAATAAACTGAAACCAAGTTTATTTTTTTCTTTGTTTGCAGCAATTTCCCTAATAAGCTATGTGTAGAGAGAAGTATTTAGGCTAGATTTATAACAAATCATGCAGGTCATTTCTGAGTGAACCAAATAGTTTTAAAACTTTATAGGTGTCAAGCACTGTATTTCTTAACTAGTAACTCAGAATTATTTTACTTAACTATCTGAGTTTCTCCCATATGTTTTTTCAGATATGCTACTTGAATGCTTCAGTTTATGCAAAGTGACTGATACTATTGGAGACTTCCTTGTTAACTAATTAAATAATCAGTTTAGAGATTAAATTATTGACTAATGGTACACTGTTTCCTCTTTGGAGTATTTCACTTGACTGTGCTGATTTTTCATCAGTTTGTACAGCATCAGCTGAGATGTAGCCCTTGGTACAGGGCTAAATGATACAGTTGTACTAATAATGAAGACAACTATTAATTTCAGTGTTTACCATTTTAAAGATAAATATTTCATGATCATGGAGAAACAGGAACTTGTTATGTGAACTGAAATGTACCTTGAATTATTCTTTTTTGTTGGTCATCCTTCCTCAAGTGAAAAAGTTCCCTTGAATTTTAAGAATTAGAATGGCTCTTATGCAAGTACCTGTGGGTTGGAATCATGGCTGCACTGGAGGTGGCAAGCTCTCTGTGATGCTGAATACGTTACATTTTTATCCACTGACTCTAATGTATATGGCACCTGACTTTTTAATTACTTCAGTGTACTTAGCCTTCATTATGTTTAGACTCTAATATTTATTTAGTTCACAGCAGGTATGTCAGCATACAGAGAATTTGTTGCCAATTGTTTTTTGGCTGATATTGCCATATTTTTTTTCTTTTTAATTTAAAATTAACTCTTCCTTTCAGTGGGTATCTTTCTGAGTTTGGAATTCATTTATCAACACTAGTGCCCAATATGATATTTGTAAACTGATGAGAATTGAGTTATGTTTCTTGAAGTTACAAAGAAAAATCTATGTTCTGTCTGTCTTCGGAATCACAATGCAACTAAATGAGTGGTGAACTCAGCAGAATCTTAATATATGGAATCTAAAATCATTTAAATAATGGTGTTGGTTAAAAAGGTGGCCATGAAATTTGGGGCAATTGCAGGCTAGTTGCAGAAGGATTAATAATAATAGATAAAACATACAAAAGAAAAAGCATTTTCATTTCTTGGATGTGTTCCCTTCATTGGCAGAAACCAAGATCTAATTTTAGAAAGTGTTCTTAATATTTCTGAGCGCTTTATCCACCATAAACATTAGTTCACATTAAAATATTTACACTTTTTTCAGTCAAGAGTAATTATTTTATCTTTCTATTAGCATATCATTATATGATATAATTTACTCTCTCCCGGTGCTAGTTTTCCAAAGTTGACTTATTCTCTACGTCCTGGAACAGCATTCCATACATGCTTTTAATTGTTGACAACTTCTGAGCATTAAATGTTGATTTAAAATAATGTGCCAGTACACTTAGTGCTTCTTAGTCGAGTATGTTGTTGTAACTCTAAAATTTCCAACATTTATATTATGTTTGCTGCGTTAAGTGTTGTAACATTAGATGTAATTTAACATAGCATTTTGACAAGAAATTTATGAAGGTACAGTAGGTTACTATGAACTGTTGTCAATATCAGTAGTATTTAGAGCTCAAACACCTTCAAATGTAGCATTATAATCCTCAGTTAAATTAAATAGGTGCATCTGTCCAATAATGGATGCAAGAGACAAAGGGAAGTCGGTTTCATTTATTTCATTAAAGCAATAATGAGGAAAAGGCTTATTTAGGTGAAACAGTGTAAGAGTTAATTCATCTCTGCCATGTAACAGTCTTGATGACCAGATTTTGATGTGTTTTCTGGTGTTGATGTTTTTTTTTTTTCTTATGCTACTGTTTAGGAGACGACAAAAATTAGGTTGAAGAGCTCAGCATGACTCCTATTACAGGTGTATCAAGCAGCAGTTTTTCATTCATTTGGGATTGATACGCCAGAACAGATGTTCCTAAATTAAGGTTGCAGGTAAGAAAAGGGAGAGATAAATCTTGTGGTTTTATGCCTTGTGTTTGCAGTTGATAGCTGTTTACTAAGGAGGCTACAGAGTTAAATGAAAGTAAGCCATGTCAGGTTGGAAGTCTTCCAAGACTCCTTGTTCTGTGATTTTCCAGGAAGGGAAGTGAGGGTGACCTGCCTGTGATTCCTATGTTGTACTTTTTGCTGTAGTATTTGCCTTTCTGAAGCCATTGTGGAACCCCTCCTGTTTCACAACCTATTAGAGAGGAGCCTCATGAAGGTTTCAGGCAGTTCTCTCCATACCATCAGATACATCCTATCTAGTCCTTTGGACTTGTTTAGGTCAGAGAACGGTTCTCAAGAGGGAGAAACAGGTTGAAGCTATGATATGATGGGAAATGTTAAATCTGGAGGAAATTAAGTTATCTGACATATGAAATAAATATGAACAAGACTAGAACTCACTTTTAATTTACTCATTCAAAAAAAAAAAAAAAAAAAAGCTACAAGGTAACTACACTGCTGAAAAAAGTCTGATTCTTATTAGATAGATGTTTTGCCTAACACTTTCAATATAGCCAGGGTAGTTTCAGTGTAAGCAGAAGAGCAGTGCAAATGTGGAAAGGAAGGTTGAGTTGAATAGGCAGTAATTATTTGAGATACTTCAGCTGTGGAAATCAATCCTTCTAGCAGTTTTGTTTTGCTCCCCATCCCAGCGTGTTTTAAGAGTTTTATCTGTGTTTTTTTCTGGATTGAGGACCATTTCTGGTTTATTTGTGGCTGTTTGAACTGATCTACGAGCTTCTCCTGTTTTTTGTTTTGATTTGTTTTTGTGATAAACTGACCTACTCCTTGGTTGCATTGACTGTATAAAAATACATATTAGAAGACATGCAAGAGGCCTCGAAAATCATGTAGGTGATTTTAACAGCTTATACACAAAGAATCCTATTGTTTTGCAAAGAAAATACAAAACTGGTGTACTAGAATAATGTAACCAACTTAGGGCTTTGCACAGAACTCTAGGGGTACCAATAAGTTTGTAAGTGTCTGGGTATGCATTTTTATAGTGTGTATGTTTCTCTATGGCATCTCTATTCAGCCAGTGGAATTCCCCATCACAAATGCTCACTGAGCCAAGATTTCAAGATTTAAATCATGCTTTTAAATAGAGCTTTTTAAAAACAAAACAAAAATGGATAATTAAGTTATCCATAGTTTAAAAAGACAATAGTGAAGGATTGTGACAGATTGAAGCTTCCTGTTCTAGAGCTTAGGCCAACAACTCTGAGCCACCTGCAGCTCCTTCAACAGCAGAATTGCCCTTTTCTTTGAGGTCTCTGGTCTGGACTACCAGAACGATCAGAGTTCTGAATTGCTGTTTTAAATCCCTGGTGCCACCATTTAACTAAGTGACTGACTTCTTAAAACTAACTTTTATTCAGCCTTGTTCTTCAGCTAATAAGAGGCTTTTGAACTGCACAGCTTCTAGTTATTATGGTTTTTCATCAGCTAATATTGTTTTTCATGCACTTTGGCATAAACTGTAGGTTTATTTCATAGATAGCCTGATCTCATAGTCACGCTGTGTTAACAGCTCCTGAGCTATGATGCATATGTATTACTGTGGCTCAATATAAGCTTGGATGACATCATGAACAGATGATAATTTCTGGTCTGTTGTACTGACATTGCTCTTTTAAACAAAATATAGACAATTC